AAGGCTTAGTGAGCAGGAAAAGATACGAATGTCAGAACGCCCTACAATTTCCCCATGAAGTTCTTCATTATAGTGGTGCTCCTGTTCTACTGCAGTGAAGGTTCTGTCACGACTTCTCTGCAAAGATTGACCTTTCTAAAATTGGCATGCTTACTCAGATTCCCTTGAAATTTGGTGTTCCCCAGGAGGATGCAGGGTAGTGTTAGTGACCCAAATTTGGGGCCATTTGAGCTAAGAGCTGAGGCAAAATAAGCCCTGAAAAAAAATAGCCATTTTTGAAAAGCTCTTTAAGTGGTGGATTTTTTGTTTTGTTTTTTGGGGGGTTTTTTTGCGCAGAACTAGGGATCAAACTATGGATATGATCTTGTTAACATGGTCTCAGTCTGTCAGGTTTTACCCAAGGCAGTGCATGGCACCCACTAAACTTTTGGGAGACCCAATCTGAGAACATTGTTTAAGAACAGGTTTATTTCTGCACTTGCAGAGATATGCAGCCTGGAAGGCTTCCACAGCGCATGCACCAATTTGAAAAAACAAGTGAGAGGGTTTCTATGGAGCCACTTTGCACTTGCCTGGGTAGCTCGAAGGAATGTGCTGACACTATTTCCTCTGGGGAATGCCCCTCCGCTGACATTCAAGCCCAAGCTTTGTAAACCTGTGCCGACTGTAAAGATTTAGTAACTCACATTGTTGTTACATCTTATCTCTGTTGTCATATGACATGTTTATTTTATGGGGAGGTTTACTGTGAACACAGCGGAACAGTCCGCAGCTGGAGTGCACCATGACATGGGGGTTGGTGACTACAGGCTGATTGGGACGGGGAGCAGTGGTCTGAGTTGGCATCTTGTTTTGCCCACTCTGCAGCCTCTCACTGGTGACTAACGAGCTACTGGACATTGTGGTGATTTACTCAGGTCGAAATGATCTAGGCTTTAGTCCTAGTGCACACCTCACAAAAGGTATGAGGGCAGATTTGGACCAGATCAGAGCTTTATGTCCAGGAGCTGTGATAGTTTTCTCTGGGTTGGCCGAGCTTCTGAATAGTTGCTTCAGTGATGAGATGAAAGCTGTTAATCAGTGTTGGAAGAACATTAATCAGGAAATTGGAGGGTTCGTGGCTGACCAGAAAATGTACCGGGTGGCATAGAAACATTAGGAGCTCTGACATCTCGCTGGCTCTCAGAGAGGGCGTACACCTATTGATCAGGGGTCGGAGGATCTCTCTCTCAAACGTAAAGCTGTCAGTGTTATGGAACAGAAACCCAGTCTGTGATGTCTCGCTGGCCCTGCCACAAACTGCCCCCTCCAACCATTCTGAAACACGACCAGACACTAGGGAGGCCACTCGTCTGGTTTTGATCTTATGGATGTCGTGTCGTGGTAGCCCTGTTGGTCCGAGGATCTTAGAGAGACAACGTGGGGGAGGTAATACCTTTTATTCAACCAGTTTTTGTAGGTGAGAGAGAAAAGCTTTCCAGCTACACAGAACTTTTCCTCAGGTCTGAGAAAAGTGCTAAGAGTGTCACAGCTAAATACAAGATGGAACAGAACAGCTTAGAACAGGGGTGGCCAACCTGTGGTTCCGGAGCTACATGCGGCTCTTCAGAAGTTAATATGCGGCTCCTTGTCTAGGCACCAACTCCGGGGCTGGAGCTACAGGCACCAACTTTCCAATGTGCCGGGGGTGCTCACTGCTCAACCCCTGGCTCTGCCACAGGCCCTGTCCCCCACCTCCACCCCTTCCCGCCCCCTCCCCTGAGCCTGGCATGCCCTCGCTCCTCCCACGGCCCTTCTGAGCCTCCTGCACGCCACGAAACAGTTGATCAGGAGGTGCGGGGAGGGGGAGGCACTGACCGGCAGGGCTGCCGGTGGGCGGGAGGCGCTGGGAGCCGGGGGGAGCTGATGGGGGGCTGCTGATGTATTACTGTGGCTCTCTGGAGGGCCGGCTCTAGGTTTTTTGCCGCCCCAAGCAAAAAAAAAAAGTGTCCGGAATTGTGCCGGTTTGCTGCCATAAATCCAGTGTCTCTATTCAGTCCATGATTTTTAGTGTCCAGCAAAGTTATGAATTTAAGCTCCCAGGCCCATCCTTTGAAAGTGCCAGGACAAATCCCGGGATGTCTGTTAGTCCAGAAATGGGTGAGTGGCCACCCTAACAGGACGACCATGCCATTGTAACATAGCTGTCCTTTGCTCTCGGCAATGCATGCGAGTGGGGTTCTAGGGAGCAGGAGAAGTAATGGCTATAGAAACGTTTGTATACCAGTGAGTGAAGACTTCAGGAAGATGTGTTCCCTGCTTGTGGGGGGAGGGGGCTGGGTACACTAATGTGAAGGGGGCCAGGTTGGAAGGGGCATTACATGGGTTGGAGCATGGTTTGGGCGGTGAGCTGAAGCAGGGCTGGTGGGACTCAGCTCATGGGAGGGGGGACTGGCTGGTTTGATAGGAAAAGCATGTGACATGATACGTACAACTGGCAAAATGACTGCTAACTCCCACCACCAACATGTCTTTTTCTGTTCAACCCAACTAGGAAATTCAATGGCAAAACCCTAAATTAATGCAGAGTCAGGGTTACTTGGTGGCACGTCATTCCCTTGTAGAACGTTAAGCTGGGCAAAATTCAAATGTCTGAAAACTAGGAAAATGAAGGTTACTTACACGTAACCGAGGTTCTTGCATATTCATGCTAATGGGATACTCCAGCTGGTGGAGCCTAAATGGTAGAACTCCAGCTCCCAGTAGCCACTGGAGCATCTCACTCTCCCTCCCCCCACTGCGAATGCTGAACACTCCAGGGCGAGGGTATCAAAGGGACTTGGCGCTCCAGCCGCCTCAGTCCCTTCCCCTCTGGCCCCAAGCCCTTTGGTCAGTAGGAGGCGGGCGGGGAGTGTCCATGTGCAGAGTCCATCTCAAAGCATCTCCGTTACAGGTAAGTCACCTTCAATTCACTTCTTGGGACAGATGAATAAGCGGTTCTCTGACCCAGGCCAGTGGGACCATGGAGTCCTCACTGGAGGAGGACAGCAGGACGTCTGTGGCAAATCTCACATCAGCTCTAGATTCTAAATCTAAGGAACAGTGTTTAGGAAAGGTGTGACCAGAACTCCACCTTCCTGCTCTGCACAGCACTATTAAAGGTGTATGTCTAGAAAAAATTATAGAGGCTACCTTTGACCTAGTAAAATGTGTTCTAATTCCCTGGGGAACAGACAAACTTTTATATTTATAAGATTTGTTAATACAAAATCTAATCCAGCTTGCAAGTATTTGTACAGAAATAGCTTTAACCGTATCTCTCTTTTCATAGGCAATAAACAATCTTGGAGTCTGTCTAAATTGCTTAGTCCTGTCTAAATAAAAGGCAAAGCTCTTCTAACATTTTGCATATGTCATTTAGCTTCCCCTTCCTGAGCACAAGGGTTGGGAAAAAATGGTAAAATTATAGACTGATTTATGTGAAAGTCTGAGACTACCTTTGGTAGAAATTTATGAAGAATTACTTTATCTTTACAAAAGACAGTGAATGGTGGATCAGCCATTAGTGCACGTAATTCACTTCTGTGCCTTGCAGATGTACTGTACTTTCACCCCGTGTAGTAATAATAATGTTTTTATTAGATTACACATTTGAATTTATAGCCTTGCAAAGTGCCATTAACAGATAGGCCTGCAATATTTGGGACGCTGTGAATACGTATGTAATCCTAGATAATTACACATGTGTATATATAGATATCTTAAGATATTTCAGCATGGCCCTCTTAACCCGTGGTCCGTTAACACGCGGTCGTGACGACTTGACTCCCAACATCCGTGCGTAAACGGGTCTGTACTGTATTCGCTATACAAAACACTGTCTTAATAGACAGCTGAAACAAAGTATAACTTCCCAAAGGTTCAAAGGGAGGTTTCATCAATTGCAATAGCACTAGGTTCATACCCTAAGATGGCACAGGATGTCTTATTGGAAGATATAAATTATCCTTTTAAGAATTTTTTGACTACATCATTAGTGAAAATTGATTTATCACTTGCAGGAACATGGTGCTATGGCTGAAAGGTGAACTTTCAGAAGATAGTGAAAGAGTTGTTGTCTTAAGAGTCAATAAGTATTCTAATATATAGCTAATTGGTTCTCTAGACATCAGACACAGAAATCCACAATAGCAATCTTTGCCACTTATGACTATAACATTTTTCTGTGCACTCATTCCTGGAATGTAACAAATAACTTTTTTCTAACAATCCCAGACTCCTGTGCCCCTTGCTGTTAGATGAAGAGCCTGGCGATCTGGGTGATAAACCATCCTGTGTTTTTGCGCCAAGTCTGGTACTAACGGTAGAGGCTCTATTACTCCTCTCGACCAATGAATTAAGTCTGGGTACCATTGTTGTGTGGCCCATGCTGATGCTATTAAAATGATCCTGGCTTTGTCTTGTCTTATCTTGTTTATCACTCTCTGAATGAGGGGAAATAGGGGCCATGCATATGTTAATCCCTGACCCCAGTGTTTTAGAGAGGGGCCCGATATCGGGTCTCTGTCTCTGCTGAATCTTGAGCAAAATTTCTGACACTTCTTGTTGCTGCTGGATGCAAAAATATCTTTTATTGGATTCCTCCAGAACTGGAAGAGCTGTACTACTATTTCGCCCTTCAGAGACCACTTGTGCCTGTGACCTGCCCAGATGATCTGCAAGGGCGTTTTGCTCCCCAGATACATAGATTGCTACTGGGTGAACATCATGTTTTACAAACCAGTTCCAAAGGCTCTTTGCCTCCAGGCATAACTGTAGGGAATGAGCCCCTCGCAGCTCGCTTGTCCAGATAAATATTAACACTGGCATATGGTCTGTTACCCTCAACTACCTTGTGTTTGACCTGAGGTAGAAATGACTATAGGGCCAGTCTGATTGTTCTCAGCTCTACTATATTAATATGTAGATTCTTTTATTCTGGTGACTAATGAGCTGTGACCAACAAATCGTTAGAGACAAGGTAAGTGAGATAATATCTTTTATTGAAATACGCTCCCCATACCAGTGTAGATGCGTCAGACGTAAGTATTGCTACTGGCAGAGGGAAATTAAAAAGCACACCCTTCATTACATGTCGAGGGTTTGTCCACCACATTAAGGATGTTATCACCTGCTGTGGAATTACTAGTTTGTGATGCATGTTGTTTAAACCTGGCCTGTAACTTATTGCTAACCAGTGTTGAAGATCTCTCATCTGAAGATGAGCATATGGTCTCATTGAGATGGGTGATGCCAACAGACTCAGCAACTGGAGAACAGAAGAGAATTGATTGTTGTGGGGATTGGAGAAGGAGATATTTAGACGTTTTTATAAGTCTCTCCTCTGGGAGAAAAGTTCTTGACACAGTTGAATCTAGTATGGCCCCTATAAAAAGCATCCTTGGAATTGGGCTTAGGAACAACTTTTCCCAGTTTAGTGGTAATCCCAGACAGGCAAAGAAGGACCATATTTGTTTTACATGTGATAGGATGTAGGTATAAGTGTACACACATCCCCTGCCTTCTTAGGTTCACTGCTATTACTACAGGGAGGTATTCTGTAAACACTCCAGGAGCTCTGGACAGCCCAAACCTGAAGGAAAAAAGAAGGGATTAAAGAGGTAAGAGGTAACAGGAGGAAACAAAATTTCTTTATATAGGTGTTTAGTTTTCTTAAATCCAAGATAGGGCAAAGGCCTCACCTTTTGTAAATTAGAAAATAGCATGAATAAAGCCCCATCCCTCTCTGATCTCGCAGTACTGTCTTGATCACTCCTGACTACAGTAGAGATTGAGCCTCTTTTCTTAGCAAATCAAAGCAAACTTGATCCCTGACCTGGGATGAAAGAGGTGGGTTGTTCAGGGGGAAAGATCTCGAACTCAGTTGTATAACTGCTTGCAAAAACTTCCAGGATCCACCTATCAGATGTTAATTCCCACTGCTCATAAAAATGGGACAAACAGTCCCCAAACTGCGGATAAATGATGTCCAACTGAACTGGTTTGTAACCCACATCCTCATGTCAAACCTAAGACACTCCAGGAATCGCGGCAGCTGAAGAAATGGAAGTTTTCCCTTTATTATTAAGAGGTTTATACAACTCCTTCCTTTGATGTTGCTGCTGAGAGAGATGATACTGAGGTTGGTGATAATAATTCCTTCTGTGATAATGGTAAGGAATTGATGCAGAGGAACTCAGATATTGTTGTCGGTATCTGAATAATGGAGTTGCAGAGGATCTCTTCTCCATAGTAAAGACACCCAGAAATCTAGCTATAGATCTCACATTTTTAATCTTTTCTAACACTTAATCCCTCTGTACGCTAAAGAGACCTTCTCTTTCAGAAGGAAGGTTTTCAATCCTCGTCTTTGTCTCATGAGGCAGACCTATTGACCTAAGCCATGCATGCCTTAGAGTGATAGCTGAAGCTACTGCCATTGCCAAAGTGTCTGAAGAATCAAATGCTGCTCTCAGCTGATGTTGGCAACATCCTGCCCTTCGGGGAGGAGAGCATCCACTAACCTCATATGTTCTTCAGGTAAAGTATTAAGGAATGATAGCATTTTCCCCCATAAATGGTACCATACTGGTATCTCACCATGTCAGTTTCATAATTCAAAATACACATGACTAAAGTGGTTGAAGAAAACATTTTTCTCACAATACCATCCAGTGTTTTCCCTTCTTCATCAGAGGGAGTGGAGTCCACCTGAGCACCTTTTGATCTTTGTAATGCCGCTTCTACAACTAATGAATTAGGAGATGGGTGGGTGGGTGTGAAACATAGCCAGAGCTTCTTGTGGAAACTGATACAATTTGTCCGCCCTCTTCACTAAAGGCTGAGACGACGGAGGATTCCATACTGCTTTTGCTGGTTGGAACAATCCTTCCAGTGAGTAGAGTGTAACCCCTTGTCGGGTAGCTGCTCCCAGTATATCAAAAACTGATTTTGAAATGATTCCTCCAACGAGCCTGAAGGAATATCCAAAGTCTTTACCATGCAATCCATCAGCTCATGGAATGCCACTGCATCTTCCGATGGTGACGAGGCCAACTTGTCCCCCACACTTTTATTTGGACATGTCATCCCTCCAGAGTCTGGAGCCGACTTCTGAAATTCCATTAGTTCCTTCTCTGACAAGAGACTCCTTACTGCTGTAGGAGACCCATCAGGTCTTATAGGGCTTGTCGGACATATCCTTCCTATCCGGCAACTGAACATCCTCTTTGTACCAAACTGCTGAAAGCCTAGTCTCATACCTAGGGAGCTCCAGATAAGGTGCAGGAAAAACAGTGTGACCTTCTAAGCCAAGAGGGACTTGCCAGTCTGGCCAGAAACCCACATTCAGACCTGATTGTTAATATCTTTGTCCACACGGATCCGAGGTACATGAGTGTCTGGGCCTGGACGTCTGACCTAATGGTCTGAGCCCAGAGCAGAGTCATGGTCAGGAATCACGCCAAGAATCATAGCTGGATTTGGAGCCAGAAGCCATGCCCAGTGTTAAACCAGCATCAGAGCCAGAAGTCACACCAGGAGTCAAAGCCAGCAACTGAGGTCAGGACCAGGGAGCAGGAACGAGGTGAGGTACGAGGAACAGCGGGAACCAGGCATGGAGGCAGGAACTTGGTCTCAGGGGCACTCAGCAGCAGGCCTAGCGACCAGTTGCTCAGACAAGGGGCCTGGGCAGGAACAGGAAGCTTTATGCTAGGCGGTGACCAATTAGCAGTCTGCTGCTAGTCAGCTGACCCCGTTTGCGGGGTATCAGCTGCAGGTTGTAGCACAGGGCTGCAGAAAAACACTCTTGCTCAGCAGCCCTGGGAGGCCTGATGCTCCACCCACTGAGGGTGGTCCCCGGGCGCCCCAGGACCAGGCTTTTCAGAGGGATCCCTGTAGAAAGCCTGTACTTTTGCAGGGGTGTGCACGCAATCAGCTGGCTCCCAAGAGCGTTCTTTGGGCCCATAACCTTCCCAGTTAATCAAACAATACATTGTTCTTGGGTGTATTTAGGAATCCAGGATGTTCTGAACTACATGTTCCTTGTGGTCCTTTACTCGAACCGGGGAGATGGACTCTGGCCAGAAAATGCATCACTGAGAAAAAACTTTGAGAGGAATACACGAACTATTGGCTGGATCTTCCAGGACCGAGGGAGCTGCAATTCAAATGCCACTGGATTGATGGTGCAAGCGCCTGTGTATTGGTGGTCCAATCGGTGCCCAGGTCGGCTGGCATGTAGATGCACGTGCACAGCCAGACCTTTTGACCGGCCTTCAGCAGTGCGGTATTTGTCAGCGTGATGTCTGTAGGCTATTTCGGCGGTCTCCAGGTGATCCTGCAGGTTAGCCTATGGCTTCTGAATAGTCAGTACCAGATCGGAGTCAGCAGGAACCGCCCTGGACAAGGGGACAAAGGGATCAAACTGTGGATGAAAATCATAATTGGAGTAGAAAGGACTGAATTGGGTGGAAGTGTGTTCTGCGCTATTATCAGCAAATTTGGCTAATAGGCGTAACGCAGCTGTGATAGGTGCTCAGATGACTGAGTGGCCTAGTGGATAGTGCACTTGACCTCCAACCCCTTATCTCTCTGTTGGGGGGGGGGGTGTCAGTAACAGTGCCTGGTTCCTGAGCCCCGGCTGGGAATGTCTGGGACTCCCCCCTGCATCGAAGCCTTTGAATGGAGCCTAGTAGGAGGACCCAGGCCTCCCTCTCCCCTGGGACCCACCCCAGGGCCCTGTGGGAAGTAACACTGGCAGGTTCTTCCCTGCAGCAAGCCTGAATCTGCCACCCGAAGCTACTTCCTACCTATGTGGGCCTTCAGTCTGGGGCATGGCCCATATGATCCAAACAGTCAATTGCTTCACAAAGACCAAAGGAGCAGGGCCCTGCAAGGCTTGCTGGTTCTCAGAGGGCCTTACTTGCTATGTGGCTCCCTCTCAGGCTTCCTGGAGAAGGACTCTTCTCTCCTGCTGCCTGTCCACTACCCCCTGCCTGGGCTTCTGAGCGCCTTTTACTCCACTTCTTCAGCTGGAACATGCTCAGCAGGCCTGTAGGGGTGGGGATATCTGGGCCCAGTAGTGCCTTGCAACCCCTTCAGGCTCAGGGTGGGGTTTGTATACCCCATCTCAGCCAGCCAGTTATTTTGGCAGTGGTTTGGGAAACAGTGTAGATACCGTTCAATTACCTGGTTGATCCGTTCCGACTGGCCACCCATCAGGAGGTGGATGCATGAGAACATACATCCAGGAGGATAAACACTTCCTTCCAAACCTGGATAGAAACTGAGAACCTTGACCTGTGGTAAGAAGATTAGGAGGCCATGGAGGCAAAAAACATGCATAATTTGGACTCATGCAGTAATTTCTGCAGTCGGGAAGCATACACATCATATAAAATGGGCCAATTTGGTGAGCTGATCTACTTATAATTCTGGTAGTTCCACTATGAAATCAAGGGTCATACGTGACCAGGGTCAGGAAGGGGATCCGGACAGTATCAGGAGGCCAAAAGGCTTGTTTTGGGAGATCTTAGTCACAGCGCGAGTGTTGTAGGACCTGACGTAGGCTGGGACATCATCCTGCATCTGCGGCCACCTGAATGAGCGATCTACTGCACGCCAAGTCTTGGATTGTCCAAAGAAACACGGGGGCTGTGATGGTGCATGTGCAGCATCTCAAGTCATGGGGGAGCCTCGGGGACATAGAGATGGCCATTAACATAGACGAGAGTGTCAGCCCAGGAGTAATGCTGTAGGCCGGTGCCAGGGAGGCCCTTCTTGGATAACGTTATAAGCTTTACAAAAGGATTGGTAGTGAGGTAAGGAAATCCGACGGCCCAGATCCACAAAGGAAATGGTGTGGTTTCAGTATGTCAGGTGGTGGTTCTTTGGGGTTATAATATAATAAATAATAATAATAATATATGGAGATATACCTATCTCCTAGAACTGGAAGGGACCCTGAAAGGTCATTGAGTCCAGCTCCCTGCCTTCACTAGCAGGACCAAGTACTGATTTTGCCCCAGATCCCTAAGTGGCCCCCTCAAGGATTGAACTCACAACCCTGGGTTTAAAGTATCAGAGGGGTAGCCGTGTTAGTCTGGATCTGTAAAAAGCAACAGAGTCCTGTGGCACCTTTAAGACTAACAGATGTATTGGAGCATAAGCTTTTGTGGGTGAATGCCCACTTCGTCGGATGCATGAAACCCTGGGTTTAGCAGGCCAATGCTCAAACCACTGAGCTATCCCACCCCACAAGCTCTGTATAGCATTCCCCCTTCTGTGGAGGCATGTACTGGGCTTGTGGCCTGGATGGTACATGATCATGAAGTCAAACCTTGAAAAGGACAAGGCCCAATGAAATTGCTGTAGATTCAGCGCCTTGGCGGATTATACACACTCCATGTTTTTGTGGTCTGTTAAGATGAGCATGGAGTGCTTAGCCCCCTCAGGGTAGTGTCCCCATGTCTCAAGTCCCACCTGGATTGCCAATAATACTTTGTTGGCTGCTTCATAATTGCATTCAGCTGAAGTAAGTTTTTGAAGGAAAAAAGCACATCCCGTTTCTTTTGGGCACAACTGCCCCACTGGCTACATGGGAGATGTCAGTTTCAAGGATAAAAGGTTGGTCTGGATCTTGGTGGGCCAGGACTGGGGCTGAGATGAAGGCTTCCTTAAGATGTTCAAATGCTTGATGGGCCTCTGGGGCACAGTGAAACTTTGCAGGGTTATGAAGGATGGTGGTTATGGGAGATGTGATTTTTGAAAAGTTGGGAATAGATCTCCTAAAGAAGTTGGCAAACCCCCTGAATTTCTGAATGTCTCAAATACTCTGGGGCTCTGCCCAGACTGAACTGCAGATACCTTCTGAGGATCTATCCATAGCCCTCCCGCTGACAGGATAAACGCCAAAAATTCAGTGGATGACTGATCGAACGCACACTTCCCTAGCTCTGTGTACAATCCGTGCCGGTGTAATCTTGTGAGAACCTCACGAATCTGGTGGTCATGGCCGGCTTGGTCAAAGGAGTACATTAAGAGATCATCCAAATATGTGAACACATATTGGTTGATGATCTCTCAAAGAATATTGTTAATTAAGGTGCTGAAAGGTGGTAGGGGCATTAATAAGGCTGAAGGGTATTACTTAATATTCAAAATGCCCATAGCTAGTTCTAAAGGCTGTCTTCCACTCATTCCCTTTCCTGGTGTCAACTAGGTTATATGGGCCCCTAAAATGCAATTTGGTGAACACCCAAGCTGACCGTACTTGATCCAAAAGCTCTGGAATTAACAGCAGTGGGTACCGATAGCGTACAGTTATTTGGTTAAGTGCCCTGTAGTCCACACAAAATCTCAGAGAGCTTTCTTTTAACAAAGAGTACCAGAGCGCCTGCAGCGGAGGTAGAGCAGTGGATAAAGTTTTTTCTAGGTTTTCCTGGATGTACTCTCTTAAAGCTGCAAACTCCGGCTTGGACATAGAATATATGTGTCCAAACTGAATTTTAGCCCCGGGTTGAAGGTAAGGCAAGATTGTGAAACCTATATGAGAGAAAACCTACAGGAAAAGAGTAGTCAGCAGGGAGATGTCTTATTTATTACTAAGATCAAAGGATTAGACTTGTACATCAAGTAACTCCAGGAAACACACAGCATTCTTCATCCAGGACGCAAGCTGATGGCATGGCTTGTCTTACGAAAAAGGCATCACAGCCTGCCTATCTGCTTGGAAAGCACTGGTGAGCAACACTTTATTAGATGTGAGAGATTCTCATTAATTGAGTGTAGACTGTGTTATGATTTTATTTTATATGTAACCATTTGTTCCCAATACATCTACTTGCTATCACTCGAATCTCTGGACTTTGTTAAATAAACTTTTACTTGTTTTCCCTGTAAACTTATCTAAGTGCCGTGTGTGAAGCAGAGCAGTGATATAAGGTGCAACTAGTGAGCTGGGGGCACTGTTCCTTTGGTAGCAGTGACTCTGTGAATACTGCGAGTGCCCTGTGGATAACGGGTTGGACACTCCAGGGAGATGGTGGGAGGGTTCAGAGGTCAGAGTGTGCCTATCACTAACCTGAAGAGATAGAGCAGGGCCTGCATAGGCTGAGAGGGGAGTGCTTGTGTTGGCTGTGGCTGACGGAGTTGGGGAACTGACCCCCAGCACGCATAGGCAAGGCTTCCACACACTTACCGCAGGTGGTAGCGAGGTGCTTCCATCCAAGCCCTGGGTACCCCCAGGAAGCATCGCTGTAGTTGGCAGGATCTACAGCCTGTCTGCTCATAAGCCAAGGATCACGTTCCAGACACTTGTGCACCAGATAATACAGATATTGAGAGACTCAAAGGTGAGCAGCTTGAAAACAGGTAAAGAAAAAAGGTTGCAGTTTGTTATTTTCCATTTGTTTATTTTGGGTAAGGGAAACAGAACAAAGGGAAGGACAAGGTGAGTAAGCCGGAGACATCTGCTAAACATACCACACTGCAGCTCAGTGTCGGGCATGGCCCAGGAGGTCCAGTAAACACTGCAGAGGGGATGAGACCTGTGCTCCTGGAAGATGATAGACATCAGGAGGAACTGACTAATCTATTCAAAGTGCCTGTGGCCAAGAGGGGTGTGGGCTTCGGACACCAGCCAGGCACAAGTCCCAGTGAATAGCAATGCAGTTGGAACTGGCCAAACTAGAGATGAGAAAACTGGAAATAAAGGAAAGAGTCCAGGAAATGGAGATGCTAGCAAAGAAGCAAAAGCGGGAGGCACAGACCAGCCTGGTAAGGGCAGGTGGTAGCGAGGTGCCTCCACTTCGGCTACCCCTTGGAAGAGTCACAGTGTCCTACCACGGTGAATGAGCCAAGGCTGTCCTTCCCAGGCATGTTCAGTCACAGATTAAAGAGCATCTGCTTCAAAACGTTACTGGGATTGTGCGAGAGGACAAAACGGGACATATGCAAGAGAAGTTAAAATTTCACAAAAGCAGAACTCTGCTGCTGCAGCTATTGAGCTCTTCAAGCCAGTACAAAGCCAAGCCCCCTCAGCCAGCAATCGATCCTCTCTACCTCTCTGTACCCTGAATCCAAGCACGCCACGTGAGTGATTTATTTCGGACTTGTGCTCTGGGACTGGAAAACCAAAGCCCTGCCTTTTGCAATGGTGATGTTGCACGTTCAGTTTTCAAGTTTATTCATAAGAATCAGGTCGTCTGAATGGCCAGTTACTGGGCTGCTTGCAGGGGTGATTTGAATTTTTTTGTTTTTATTTGAATGGTCCAGTATCAGTGTTTGCAATGAATGCCTTGATTTTTGTTGGTAGAAATCCAATCCGGCGGCCTGCGAAAATCTAGCAAGGTTGATATGCTGGTGATCTTTACAGGACTCTTTAGCTTTACTGCCAGGGCACATTTTTGAAATAAAATTTCTTCTTCAAAAGGCAATTTATGTGTTCCCTGCATGTGTGCTTTTGGCCACCATTTTGGAAAGGGAGGGAGGGTGGAGAAGGGGGAGGTAGTTTCAGGGCCCGTGCAGAGAGTGAAAGGAAAAGAGCAGCGTGCATTAATACAGCTCCCTATGCTGCCTTCTGCCTTGCCTAGGTCGAGTCCTGCTGGGTCTCAAAGAGCTCCTGGCAGTCCACAGGCCCTGCATCCCTGTCCCCAAATGAGCTTGTCATCAGGGCACCGGTGAGGGTTCCTGCCTCCAGGGCTTGTGAGGTGTCCACTGTCACTCACAGGGTGGTGGCGGATCCCCACCAAGGGTGGCATTCAGCTCCGCATAGAAGCGGTGGGTCTGGGATCAGCGTCAGCTTGTGTTGGTCTCCTTTGCCTTTTGTTAGGCCGGTCACGGTTCCTCCCTTTCACCCAGCATTGCTGCTCGTCCTCCAACTGCTGCATGCCCTCTGCAATGTCTGAAGACAGATTTATTTTGGCAGCTGGGTTATTATGCAGCTGTGTTTGCATTGCCCCTTCTTCCCACAGGCCAAGGAGATCCAGGACTTCCTTGGATCTGGGACAAGGCAGCAGCATGAGGTTTAGCTGTAGCTCTAAGTGGCGCCAGACCTGTGTGCCTGCTCATCAAGGCAGGCGAGCACTTCGAAAACACGCTGGGAGTTTTAAAGGGGGATGGGCTTCTGGTCACTGTGACCGCAGAGCAGCAGAGAGGTCACCATCGGAGGGACAGGGACACTACAGGACTGTTCCTACCGGCACAGGCAGTGAGTGTCGGCACTGACACTGTACCAGTCAATCAGTGCCAGCAGGTGGTGTGTCATTCGGCGAGCGGGTTTTCAGCCACTGCCAGAAAATCAGAGTTTTACCGCCAGGACCTAGAACAGGGCGTTCATGCCCACAGCGATTACCAAGAAAAGGCAAGTTTTGCTAGTAAAACCTTCTAATGTGGCCCAGGTCTGAGGCTGAAGACAGCCAGGAACAGCTCCAAGAAGGGGAACGCCCCAATCATTTCAATGGGGTATTAAAATTGCAACCAAAGTTGGTAATATCAGCGTGAATACCAAACTAGTGTGTTCACCCCTTGATCTGAAATCATCTCCCAAGCTGCCCAACCCCCTAGCTCCCTCCTTACGGTGCAGTCATGTGGGGTCAGTGCCTGGATCAAAAGCAGACACATTTTGGGGAGCGCGTACGCCGAGCAGACCAGCTCCTCTGAGGGCTGCTCTGCAGGGAGGAAATGTCCACTGTATCTGAAGCTGCTGCAGGATTTCCATGGACCCAGCAGAACCTAGGAGCCCCGAGGCAGAACCGAGGCGCTGGCATCCAGAGAGGGGCAGGGGAATTCACTGGAGTCTGGCTGAACGAGCTGCTGTTCTCTGCGGGACAGAGGGACCCATTGTCACAGCAGAGGACTGTGCTGGCAGAGAGGCCACACAAATCTGGAATTGTTTCTCAGCCCCCAGCTGGTCTGGGCTTTGGCCTCCTTGCATTTCTGAATGCTGAGCATAGAAGCGGCCTGGAGCATTGCCGAAGTGACTGTTACACTTGTTAAGGGCCAGTGCCTTTTCCAAGGACATTCTGGCCATCGCCCCAGCAGACATGTCCTCTTCTGAGATCCTTCGAAAGCCCAACTAGCAGCAGAGACCTGCCCCGAGCTCCTGGGGTGAGTGGGGAGGAAGAGACACTCAAACTGCTTCCCAGAATGTATGAGAAGAAAAAACGGTTACTCACCTTTTGCAACTGTTCTTTGAGATGTGTTACTCATGTCCATTCCATTGTAGGTGTGTGTGCTCACCATGGGCACCGGTGCTGGAAGTTTTTCCCTCAGTGGTTTCCGTAGGGGACCGGCTCTGGCGCCATCTGGAGTAGCGTGTGTATCTGTCAGTATAAGGGGCACAGCTGGCTCCCACCTCCCTCAGTTCCTCCTTGCCGGAACTCCGACAGAGGGGAAGGAGGATGGGTCATGGAATGGACATGAGCAACACATCTTGAAGAATACCAATTATGGAAGGTGAGTAACCGTTTTTCTTCAAGTGCTTGCTCATGTCCATTCCATTGCAGGTGACTCCCAAGCAGTACACCTCCAGAGGTGGGTAGGAGTTCATGGATGTGTCGATTGCAACACAGCTTTGCCAAATCCAGCGCCACCCCTGGCTTGCTGGGTGATGGCGTAATGCATCGTGAAGGTGTGTACCAACAACCACGTCGCAGCTCTGCAGATGTCCTGGATGGAGACAAGGGCCAGAAATGTGGCTGACGATACCTGAGCTCTCGTGGAGTGAGCAGTTATTATTGGTGGGGCGTCACTGTTATGGATGCAGGTGGTGATCCAGGGACCTTTCTGGCCAGGGGTTTGAATCCCTTCCAGATACGGCACTTTTCAGGAATGTGGGACTCACCCAGACTCTTCAAACAACTAAGATGTGGATCGCTGACTGGCATGGGCTTCTTACAGCAATCCAAGCCCGGGGGACTATGAATAACTAAGTATACTAACACTATTAGGAACTACAAAAACAACAAGGAGTCTGGTGGCACCTTAAAGACTAACGGATTTATTTGGGCATAAGAGATCTGACAAATTCAGACTCCGAGCCTCTGTAGGAATTGTTGCAGGACCGTCCTTTTCAAAAGTATTTTCTACCATAAGAATGACACTCTCACACTGACAACCCCCTCTGGCCAAAGTCCCAAGCAGCCAACCAAAAGGGGAAAAAAGAGGAAACTGGAAATTAATAAAATACAATAAATAAATAAACATGTCAATCACACAAACCTTCCCTCAAGCAGGGTCTTTACAAAAAAGCAGGCAAGCCAGAGACCACATGAAATCCACTAGGAACTTTGCTGTTGCTATCATCTTGCTGTGGTAGATGCTCAGATACTATGGCAATGGACCCCAGGATAAACCCCAAAGAGAGAGAGAGAATAATAATATTACCCTAAAACATGGCCAAGTTAATTGCTGCAAGAGCTGTAACTTTTCATTTCCTTTAGGGTGCTTACATCTCACCCTGGGCACTGCATTAATGTTGTTTACACCAAATTTCCTTTAAAAAAAGAAAACCAAGCTGCTCCCCCATACACATTAACACACTGCCCTTTAGCCCAGAGCTCTCGGAGATACACAGGGTCACCCATTCAACGTGATCACAGAGGTAGTTATTAATGATGGTGCAGAACTTCATCAAAACCAAGGCTCATGGATGTAGCTGGAACTCTGCATCACCATAGGTAGCCGTAAACGTACTGAGAAATCACATCCATCCAAGGTGCTTTCATGGCCTCCGGCACTGTAGTGTGTAAACACCTCCTGATTTCTAATGAGCAAGCTTGTCTGTCAGGGGACTAGCTGCTAGCTAAGTGAGCACTAGCCTCCTGTCCCTTGATCACCCTTCCCCTGTGTGTTAATAAGGGGGCAAGGCTGACATAGAGGAGAAGGGCTTAGAAGCCAGACACTGAGGCCTGCTCTACACTAGAAAATTAAGCCAGCTTAACGACGGTGCTCAGGGATGAGAAAAATCCACTCCCAAGCAGCGGGGTTAAACCGACCTAATCCCCAGTGGAGGCAGCGCTAGGTAGATAGAAGAATTCTTCCGTCAACCTAGCTACCCCTCTTGAGGAGCTGGGTTACCTATGCCGACAGGAGAACCCCTATTGTCTGTACTGAAGCACTGCAGTGGTGTGGCTGTAGCATTTCAAGTGTAGACAAGCTCCAAGTGAGCAAGAAGGAGCTAGCACCTAGGGGAGTTTGAGAGGCAGTTTGTAGGAGGGAGACAAGAATAAAATCACATGGTTCCAAAAGACCACATTGCCTATGCTACGCCTAGTTCCTCCATCTGCACCTGCATCCAGACAGAGAACCCTCAGTCCAGGCCCTGGTGTGGATTTGCATGGACTGGGGCCTGTGTTTCCCCGTCACAGAAAGCCAGGTTGGGGGCACTGTCTGGTGTGGGAGATGCCTACGGGTAGAGTCCCTCAAGAAGCAGGTGGGAGAGCTGCCGAAGTAGGTGCTACACCGAGGAGCATCCATGCACAGGAGGAAGCCGTTGAAAATACGCACATGGAGATCTCCAAGGCTGAGGAAGCAATGCAGCTGCAGAGGGCTGCAGGAGCGCCACCAGGGCAGGAGGAAACGGCTCCAGCACAGGGCGGAATCTGGCAGCAGATTATTTCTGGCAGCAAGCAGTGCTGCACCTCTGCTCCCAACCCACCCTCCCTATAGATAAAACCTGTATGCTGCCCTGGCATCCGGGGTGAGGAACCTCCCCGAAAGGTGGAGGAGAAGCCGCGTACCCCCATGGGCGCACCCCCAAGAGGATCATGGCCACCTCTCCCAGGAGGAAACAAAGGGTGGTGGTGGTTGGTGACTCCCTTCTAAGGGGGAAGTGAGGCATTCAGCTGCCAGCCTGACACACCATATCCTGGAAGGGCCCATATCTGAGGATCGTCCGGCCCTCTGACTACCACTGCTCGTCCACATGGGCACTAAAGGTCCTGCAGGGTGTGACCCTGAGCAGATCAGATGGGACTACAGGGCTCTGGGAGCGAGGGAGTTGGTGGTGCAGGTGGCGTTGTCATCAACCCTTCCCATCAAGAGTAGCGGCCCAGGCAGAGCCAGACACACCCTGGAAACGAACGCACGGCTGGTGTCGCTTGGGCTTTGGCTTCCTCAACCAGGAGAGGCTGTTCTGGGAAGGGCTGCTGAGCAGAAATGGGATCTGCCTGTCAAGGAAGGGGAAGAATATCTGGATACAGACTGGCTAACCAGTGAGGCAGCCTTTGAACTAAGGCCTGGTCTACACTACAGAGGTAGGGTGACGTAAGGCAGCTTGAGTCAATCTAGCTCTGTAAGCATCTACACTACAATGTAGCTCCCGCCAATGTAAGTCGCCTGTGTAGACACTGCGTTACTTACATCGCCTGTTGCCAGGCGGGGCTGCAGCCGGAGCCCCCCCATGTGGCACTGGCAGCCTGAGCCTGGGCGGCCTCCTGGTTAGGGATGTGGGGAGGAGAGCCCGAGCCCAGGCTGCCTCCCAGTGAGGGATTGGGGGGGGAGGAGAGCCTGAGCCCGGGCGGCAGGGCTCTGGGGGAGGGATGGGGGGCGGAAAGGAGAGCCTGAGTCCGGGCGGCAGGGCTCTGGGGGAGGGATGGGGGGCGGAAAGGAGAGCCTGAGCCCGGGC